CTCCTTGTCTGTCTCAGTTTAGATTTTGAAGACAATGAAAAGACATCAGCTGAGCTGCCACACTAGTGACAGGTACCCATTTCATTCTCAGCTGATTCAACCATTACTACTACAGCATCAGAACATTGCCTCTTTTATAGGTAACCTTCTTGGTGTAGCTCCCAACAGCTACAAGAACTCTGCAAAGACTGCCTTTCCTTTAGGAGAGAGGAGGATAGTACTAAGTGCTCTCCAAAAAACCACTCAAAAGTCGAAACACTAAATATTTGTCTTTTCACTTGCCACTTCCAGCTACGAGACGCAATACAAATCTTGCAGAGCAAGCATTCAAAAGCAACCTAAAAAAAGGTCTGTATCCCCTATGTAACCCCACAGGCTGTCTGGTGGGTTTTTTGATCCTTTCAGCAGTAGTCAATAGGTGCCCTTCATGTCATGAGAACGGCTTGTGAAATACAATGATTATCTAATTTATTCTTGTACTTTATCAAAACAGGTTTTACCATACTAGAGTTTCCTTGAGGGAAGCATTTTGCAACACTTAATTTCAACTCATCTTCACATGGAAGAAGCCAACAATTTACAAGACTTAATGTCTCCCAAAGAATTTCTTCATACGATGCCCATGACAGCTGGAAGAAAAACACAGCTAATATTGAAGTGCCTGACATGAGGCATTGGCTCTGATTTAAAACAGAAGCCAACATCAAGATGTTCTAATTAGGGCAACGCATGTAGAGTGTAGGCCAGGCCAAAAAACAGCTTGCTCAAATCACAGCGAGTCACAGCTTGCTTTGTCACTAGTAGGACTAGCTGTATGTGGAGCAGAAAGTTTATACTCCTCTGCTCAGATCTTTCCAGATCAAGGTGCGGGAGTGAAGGGAGCATCAGGCTGGCAGCTTCCAACCATGTTTGCAAACAACCCTGGCAGCCATACTAGGGACAGCATGCAAACCTCCCCCAAGACCTCTCGCAGATAGTCCAGTTCGCACATGCCCAGCTCCTAGCCGTGTTGCCATCCTGCAGCCGGACGCTGGCATTTCTGTGGCCAGAACCTGCCAGCGCCTGCAACGGCAAAGCCAGTTTTCCGCAAGCCTGACAGGACCCAAACGGCCTTCGGGACAGGATGCTGGGAGGGCTTTCCTCAGCCTAGTGCCCTGCGTTTTCAGGCGACCCCCCCTGCAAGCTGCCACCTCCTCACCGACCCCCACAGCCGGGGGCCTAGCTAGGCAGGGGCGGGAGCGGGAGGCACCACAGCCACTCTCCCTTCCCGGACAGGCACAAACAACCGGGAGGAAGAAGCCTCTGCCTTTCCAGGCCCGACCTGGCCTAACAGGAACAGCCCGGTGTGGGGGAGATGCACCTGCCCTGCGCTCACCCCCCCGGCTCCCTCCCCTTCTGAGGGGCCCAAAGCAGCGGCTCCCGCAGCGCCCCCGTGATGCGCAGCTGGGGGAGGCACCTGCTCGGCCCGGCGGCCGCCCCAGGCCCAGCGAGGCGCGGGGGGCAGCAAGCACGGCATCGCAGCGGCTCCCCCCGCGCTTACGTTGTCCAGCTCCTGCCGCTGCCTCCCCGCTCCCGCCGCGGCCTCCATCAGCGCCGCCCAAGGCGCCCCCGCGC